AACTTCTATACAACGAAAGGAGACTGCGACCACACAAAAAGCCACACCATCTTGGTCTTTATACCTTCAATATATTTTGCTTAAATCACATTAAAAGTTTAACGTGGATATACAGACAATTTTATTAATAAATATAGGTTAGTTAACAAGGCCAATGTGTAAGGAGACTTACAATCTCATTCCTACTCTTTTGAAGCTGCATATCGTAGTCAAGCAAAACGCATTTGCTAGGATGCCCGACCACTTCAGGAATAGTCCCTTCCACTGTTTTTGGAGACCGAGATAGAGATGATAGTCGCTCAACGGGAGCCGCTTTGTCTAGACCGGGAACTAGACCATGGGCTAGGAGAAGAGTCGCCTCTTCAAGACTAAGTCGGACAGGCAAATGAAGCCAGCATGGTGAAACTTGATCACCGTCTTCTGAAACGGCAAGTCTGGAGGAGCTTCGAGTATTCGGCATTGGACCAAATCGACTGGGTCGGCCAACTATCCGGTGTTTAGAGCGCATATAAACAACCGCTGACTCAGCAAGGCATTAAAGAAAGATCAGTATGTTTAGTTACAATGAATAAAATGACCTTAAATGTAGACAAAATAACTTATACAGGCAAGATAAGGCAGATCAAAAAGGTCAACAATGAAGGAACAGAAAGAGATCACAAGCTCGACGACCATGAGCTTTATACAACACCCAGAGTACCAGTATTAAAATATTTCTTACATATTAATCAAGCTGGCCAAAAGAGTCAAATATATGAGGACTAAGACAGTAAGACCACTCGTTTAAACGAAGAAAATGCGGGTTTGGAAGAATCTCCTGAGATAAGATTGATGTGAAAGTAAATGATGAAGAGATTCATAAGTCACTCTCACCAGAAAGCGTCGGCAGAATCACATTGTAATGCAGTCATTTGGCCTTAATACGATGTTCAATTTGATGAAGTCAAGGAGACATCCTTCAACGTTTCAGGCGATGAAGAGCTTAGCTTTTGGTCATCATGTAACGAACTTCCTCAAGGCTAGTACTCATTTTTGTAAAACTTTTTTCAATGTGATCAATATAC